TTTCTTATATGTAAGTATTTTCTTGTTAATAATTGTAGAGAATTAGATAAATTATTTTTAATGCTTGTATTTGTTTATTTAGGTAATTTTATTAGTTTTAAATTATTAATTAAAGTAAAAATAGCTTTCTATTTCTTATATGTAAGTATTTTCTTGTTAATAATTGTAGAGAATTAGATGGAGACTCCAAGTTCACAAAGCGAGCTAGAGGATGATAATGCTCCTCTTTGGAGATATGTCACAAAACTTGGAAAAACAACGGGAGGTGGTGGAAATTGGGAATGACAGTGCAATTATTGTCTTGAAACTTTTAAGAGTTCTCATTCAAGAGTAAAAGCACATCTCTTAAGACATCCATTATTTGGAATCAAGTGTTGTGCAAATGTGAAGAATGAAAATATTATTGAGATTAAGAAAGTGTTGGAGCTAGCGGAGCTTAGATTGAAGGCAAAGAAGAGCAAGAGTGTTCCATTACCTACATCAACAACCACCACCACAAAAGAAGTTGCTAAGAAGAGAAGAAGTGAGGGGAACACCATAGAACAATCATTTAATCGTGGAGCCCGAGATCACCTACATGATCTCATTGCCCGAATGTTTTTCACTGGGGGTTTTATCATTTAATTTGGCAAGAAATCCATACTTCATCGAAACTTTTAAATATGCCACAAGCAATTCGCTTGGAGGTTATATCCCTCCCGGATACAATCTTCTAAGAACAAGCCTCTTACAAAAAGAAATGGCACATATCGAGAAGTTATTAGAGCCTATAAAATTAACATAGAAAGCATAGGGTGTTTCTATTGTTAGCGATGGGTAGTCCGACTCACAAAGAAGGCATCTCATTAATGTGATGGCGGTGACCGAAGATGGAACGATGTTCTTGAATGCCGTCAATGCGGAGGGGAGGACTAAAAATATGGATTATATACCTGATATTCTCTTGTAAGCCATTAAAGAGGTTGATCCTCATAATGTTGTACAAATCATAACCGATAATGCACCGGTTTGCAAATCCGCGGGAGGCATTGTGTAAGGAAGACATCTTCATATTTTTTGGACTCCATGTTGTCCTTACACTCAATCTTGCCTTAAAATATTTGTACGGCGAAGAATACCGAAAGAAATGAGGTAGTGTATGAGGAATGTAGTTGGATCACCGAAGTTAGCGATGATGTTGTTGTTATAAGAAACTTCATAATGAATCATTCCATGAGATTGTCAATGTTCAATGAACATGTGAAGTTAAAGATGTTTGCTATAGCCGAAACTCATTTTGCTTCGGTTGTTATCATGTTGTGACGATTCAAGAAGATCAAACGTGGTCTTATGGACATGGTCATTAGTGAGAGTTGGAGTCTTTATTGAGATGATAATGTTGGGAGGGCTCAATTTGTTAAGGATAAAATTTTGGATGATATTTGGTGGGATAAAATAGAATATATTATCTCTTTTACCAAGGCAGTTTATAACATGGTTCGATCTGCCGATACCGACAAGTCAAATCTTCACTTAGTTTATGACATGTGGGATTCTATGATTGAAAAATTAAAGAATTGCATTTATCAAAAAGAAGGCAAGAGAGATGATGAATATTCATTATTTTACAATGTGGTACATACTATCCTTGTTGATCGGTGGAATAAGAGCAATACACTATTACATTGCTTAGCTCATTCACTAAACCCAAAGTGAGCATTTTTTTCCTCAAATAAACTTTTAATCTACATTGGTTAAACTACAATAGTTGATATTATTTATGAATGTTTTTCTATCTTGTAGATATTATAGCGGGACTTGGCTCATTGAAGCCCCAAATCGGGTTGCACCATACATAGATCCCGAGATCTCAAATGAAAGAGCTAAATGCTTGAAGAGTTATTTTCCTAACTCCGAGGAGCGGAGAATGGTTAATGTGGAATTTGCTAAATTTTCCTCCGCACAAGGTATATTTGCGTATCATGACTCTTTGGATGATAGAGGAAAATGGATGCAAAGTCATGGTGGGTTATCTATGGAACATCTACACCAAAATTACAAGAGTTAGCATTAAAGTTGGTTGTGCATCCTTGTTCCTCTTCTTGTTGTGAGAAAAATTGGAGCACTTATAAATTTATTTATTCTCTTAAGAGGAATAAGATGACTCCACAACGAGCGGAAGATTTGGTATATGTCCACACAAATCTCCGTCTTCTTTCTAGGAGATCCTTGGAATACTCTAATGAGGAGACAAAGATGTGGGACGTAGGAGGAGATGAATTTGAATCATTCAGTGGTGTCGATATTTTAGAAGTTCCAAACCTTTCTCTTGACGAGCCGGAGCTTGAGACCGTTGTATTTAATGAGTATGAAAATGTTGAATGTTCAAACCTTTCTCTTGACGAGCCGGAGCTTGAGACCGTTGTATTTAATGAGTATGAAAATGTTGAATGTTGATTGTCTTCTAACCGGTGCAAGGAATATAGTTTTAACTTTTGGAATATGCTAGTGAATTGTAAGTTTTTGGGATATAGATCTAACTTTTGGAGGTATATTTGCAACTTTAAACAATATACTTGTAATATTTTGAGGGATGCTTGTAAATTTGTAATATTTTGGGGTATAGTTCTAACTTGTGAAGGTATGCTTGTAATTTTTAACCCTCCTTTTGTGAGGTAGGCTTGTATTTTTGTATGCTCAAGATGAAAGTAATGAAAATTAGAATTTTAGAGATCATTGCCATCCTGACGTCTTAATTCACACCTGCAACATAACACATTCTTTAGTTTCTTATTTATAATCTCCACTTTACATAACAAAAAAAATAAAAATGTAATAGGTATTTAATTTAATATTGATCTAAAGTGAATTATTTTATATATATACAGCCGTGTCCCCGTACCCTACTTTTTACAAATTTGTCGTGTCCCGTACCCGTACCTAGGCATAAGTTTTTTCATTGAACTTGGTAGTGAGGTGGACAAATCTGGCCCCTACATCACTCCTCGAAAATAGAGCCTCTATTTTGGAGTAAGTGAAAAATGATTGAGACTCTATTTTCGAGGCGTGATGTAGGGGCTAGATCTGTCCATGTCACAATCAAATTCAATGAAGAAACTTGGTACCAAGGTTCTTCATATTTCATATATATATATATGAAAAATATGATTCTAAGGAGCCACCTTAGATTGAATCTAAGGATGCAACTTTAGAATTGCGTTATATACAATTACTTTACTTAATCTACTCCATTCATTTTGATCTATATGTTTTGTATGATGTATAAACAAAAAATTAGGCATATTAGATTATAGTTATTCATGCATCAAGTGATTGTAAAGTTAATGGTGTTATGACAATACAACTAAAGTGACAATGAAAAATATGTGTTAAAAGTATTAAAACATCATGATTTTTATTTTATAGATGTTTTAATACATTTAGATTATGATGAATGGAGCGGATCATCGATTAAAATAGCCTAATCCATGCATCGGGAGGTGCATCCTTAGATTCAATCTAAGGTGGCTCCTCAAATC